CCGTCGCGGGTCAGCTCCCATTGTCCAGAGGAATCTTGGATGTACCAAGTGATATTGTTCTCATTGCCTGACGGCACAAACGGAAGCTCAGTCCCGTCCACTAAGATTTTAGGCGGATGAAGACGTTGAAGCCCCTGAGGCACAATATGGAAACGGCGTACGTTACTCGTCTCTAAGCGCCAGAAGTCTTGTGACTGGTTGCGAGCTACATCCAAGCGGCCGTATCTATCTGGGGACCATAGCTGATCGACAAGGAGACCTCCTCTGGAACCCATATCTGGCGACGAGGGAATAATTGTCGAAAACCTTTCGGCAGATTCGTTACGGGATACTCTGGTGTGGCGGCGATAGAACTCCACCAAGGGGTCAGTTGTGAGGATGCCCTCAAAATAGTGGCCGGCTTCAGCAAGTTCGTGGTAATTGCTCATCCACCCGTCTTCCCAGGTAAGCTGGTGCATAAGTCGAGAGTGATACGCCGGGACATTATCATCCTTCGCGCCATGCTGCTGAAGAATCGGGATCCCCGCAAAATTTTCAGTGAGTAATTCATGTTTGAAGTTCCTTCGTGAGGACTCCAGAATTGCTGCCAAGGAGGCGTCTGCATTCCGCCACATACTGAACGGCACATAATCTATGAACATGGTTTCAGTTATTGAAGCTATAGTGTTCGGTAGAAGCGGGGCATACTCTCAATAGATATATACCCTGAAACGGGGGCAGCAGCTAGCACTTTATCAGGCTGGTGGGAAAGGAGATACCAGGAGCCTTGACCTGTGAATTCCAAGGTGTTAATTTTGCTAAATAGGTTCTGAACTGACATAGGTGCATACATACCTCCATTGGAATGTCCAACGACAACCCACTGATCAAGCATCACCCCGGGACCATCCCAACCCATAACCCTGATCCAGTTGGGAATAGCAGCAACGGCTGCCTGGACATCTGCAAAGCCCCACGTATCTAGTTTCCTAATTAGTTAGCGTAATAATTATACAAGGAAAGTAAGAAGTGAAAAAACATTAAGGCGGAACACGTACGCCAGTCATCACCACTCCAAGATGTCACCCCCGTGGGAAGTAAGATCCAAGCGCAAAGCCCATGCACACCATCAAGCATATGTCGACCAACATCACTGTCTGCTTCGACACCAGATCCATGAAGACCAAGGATCACCGGGAAGTCCTTTTTCTCCCCAGCATGGCAAGAACTAGTGACTGGCGGGCGCAAAATTGCATAGGATACGATGCCACTAGGGTGGAGGAATGTAAATTTCTGAGGTTCAGAAATCGGTAGATGTTCGAAATTGATGGTGACTGCAGTCACTCGCTGTCGGCGATCGGGGCCCGTTTCGTACCCAATCTCGAAGGTAATTTGAGCAGGGATCCGACCTGGAAACTTTATTTTGAAAGCCAGAGGGCGGGATTGGTGAGAAGCAACAGTAAACGGCCCGTTTAGTAGAGTCAAACTGGGATGGGTTTGCTGTAATCCGTGTGAGCCTTGGCCCTGGACGCAAAAAGAGACAAAGTAAACTTACGTTTTCACCAACGGGCCTGATCCAGGTAATTTCAGCCGCCTCTTTCATCCCATTTTGTATATTCACGGCTGCATATGGACTTGCGAGCTTGCCATCGACCACATCCGAGACTAATATATTTGCTGGATCAACATTCACTTGCTCTGGGATTGGCTTGAATTCAACGGCAGCAATTATTTGCGGATCATCACTTCCACCCAGCGCCCGAATATCGTAGAATAATCGAAGCTCAATGGTATGAACTCCAGGGTCAAGATCCAGGATCAGCGGCGCCCGGCGAAATGCATAAAAATCGCCTCCAAAGTAGAGATCCCCATCAATTCGCAATTCGAGGATGCCATCAGAGTAAACCGCCAAGGCAACCGGAGCATTTCCAAGGACAGTGACATTTCCTCTAGCCCAAGCTTGATACTGCAAGGCCGACCAGCCATAAACTGACCGAAGAAATGACCAGTTGATATCGCTAAATCCGAACCGGAGGACCGCTCTCGCAGACCCATCGGCAGCAGCGGGTTCACTTGCGAGTACTGTAGTCCAACGGCAGACTCCACCTTCCCCAAGGGCACTTGGAAATACTGCATCCGGATCATATTTCATTGCCCGGAATCCGCCATGTGCCTCAAGAGGATCTGCGCCCCACACTGCCTCTGAACAGATGGTAGTAGATCAGGATCACTTGTTTATTTTCTGCCTGGATCGCCTATACACAAGATGCTGCACTAACCTCGTGTGCCAATTCCGAAAGGACCCAGAACATGCCACGACTGTGAAACTGAAACGTTTGCCATTTGCCATTGGTCGCGCTGAACAGACAAAGCCTGTGTTGCCAGCTGGACGGGAGGCTGTAGGCAATATGACAGGCTTACCAGCAGGAGGATTGATAGCAGAGAAACTCCAATCATCTTTCGCAAGATTGATGGAAAGGAACGCTTAACATGTGCGCGGCCAGCTCTGATGATGGTTACGTCTAGGGACTGATTGCCGAGGAGGAAGAAGACAATTGCAGTTCGACGTCGTCCGCATTTCAGGCCCCTTGAAATCACTGCCGGCCAAATTACATGCTGCAACGGTTCTCTGAGGTACCTTGGAACTCCTTGGAAGGATCAACTGTTTTCGGCAGTGTTCGGATGAAAGAGATGGTCATGCCACCTGAGGCTGTTGGTTAATTAGCGTTAATGAATCGCAAGGTCGCATTGAGCCACTGACTTGTGCCAGGGCTATGTCCCGAGATGGGGTCAAGAGCTGAGCACAACACCCTGTCACGACTCATGACTTCAAGCCTCCAAATGACTCCGCAACCAACCCCACCAGGAAAGTATCCATGCAACTCGATGGCATTGTGGTTGTATCAGCTCCGCACGCTTTGCTTATTCCGCAAATGATAGCTCTGGATAACATAATCCTACGATGTGGAACCACATCAGACTCGCTATAGTATGGAGTACAAGGAACAAAGTCAAAAGTACTACGTAGATACCACCCAAATAGATTGATGATCGTACGGATAACTGCTGCCTAATTGTGTCTGTATACCTTTTTGATTGTCTATAACATGACGCCCGTAATGCCACGCTTGCTAAGTGATATTCAATGGAGAGAAAAATGCAAAGGACCACAATCCAAACTACCCTCCAAGGATGATTATCCTGTATCCATTTCATCCACCCCCGCAAGGTTGTCGGGAGCGTTCGCATGTCCAGCTTTGGATGAATTCGGTCGGGTGTTTCCGCTCTGGCATCCGGGGCAATTATGAACAATTTCATGTGCAAAAACATCACAATCAATGCAAAAGTGATTATGACACACGGTACATTCGTATCTGCTGCTCACCGACATCCCCTTTACCGTGCCACCGCGCGTCTCCCATTGAGCACGCACTGGAACCGGCGGGAAGGGATTACCGCATGCAAAGCAATTCGAACTGATCGATGCTTTATTCCAAGGAACTTCGACCCAATTGATTAGGGGGAACAGATGATGATATGACCGAGCCAAATGTGTAGAGAGAATCAACGTCAGTCCACACGCCGGACACTCTGCAGGTAACGTGCAGATTTTGCTTCCACATCTGGAGCAAAGATAACCTCCCCTAGATGGCTTTGAATGGCATGCGCATAGGGACTGAGAAGATTCCACTGTGCGAGAGGGGAATCCCATCATCAAGAGAGAATTTACGGCTTGCTTTTGTGAGCGGGTGACGGGTGGAGTTGTGATTTCCATCATGAGCTCGCGGAAGTGTTGCTCATTGAGTGCTACACCATAGCCGCTGTCGTCGCCGGCATTGGTCTTCGAGCAGATCTCCCGGCATATAGCTACTTCAGCAGCAAGACCAACAACTCCCACGCGGATTTTGTCCGTGACAAGGGAGGTAATTGTTTTGTGAATATCGCCTGGGTCCGATGAGAGGAGGGCGCCGAATATTATGAGAACTTCGCGGGTTCCATGGCTTGGTGTATGGCTGGGACGATTAGCTGATACCCGGGGTACGCCCTATCAGCCGGCGGGGGTAATACTTACAACAGTGCTCCGCGAGCCATTTCGAGGGCATTTTGTAAACTTGGGAGACCAGTTGGGTCTCTCGTTCTTAGGGCTTGTATTGCTAGGATATGCTCTGAAGGGTTACCGCTCATATCGCTTATTCTGACTGCCAAACCGTCCCGCATCCCAATTATTCCGAGCTGTGAAATTGGGTTTTGTTCGAAATATTCAAGGACAAACTCTTGGGCGTAGCGAAGGGTAAGGAGGTAGCGTGTAGGCCGGACATCCTTTTCTGACATAGCGATTGATAAATCTAGAACTAAGATCAGATGTCGTATGATTCCACGCTGAAGGGGAGTTGTGTCTCTAAGTAGTCTGTCGGGATGATTCTTGTCAGCACAGCTTGAAGCAGGGACTCACTCTCCGCCTACCTTTTCCTCTTCCCCGCCTCCAATAGACCTTCGACTGTTGAGCTGATCGTGCCATCTGCGCCTTCTACTAGACTTTCCCACGTCCTTGACACCTCGAACTCGTGGCCGTCTCGCTGCTTTTTCCGCTTGCCGCGCGAACGCCTGGTCCTTCCGCGGCTCACATTGCGAGAGTCCAGCTCGTCATCCTCGTCATCGTCACCGAGATCGTCATCGCGCTCGTCGGAATCAAATTCTGCGATGTATTCTTCATCCGAATCGGCCATAGCTGCCTGAGACGCGTGGTCAGTTGCTGGTTGCCATTCCGAGTTCCGCAGAGGTGTTTTGTTATTAGTCAAAGCTCCGGGATTTCCAGCGAGAACAGCGAGCTCTCACTGGCTGGTTTTTCTCGACCCATGCTCCAACATGCCGACTGACCCTGAAGTTGCAGCTAGTCTCCCCGTTCACTTGGTCAAGTCAAGCATTCTCGGCGATCCATCGCAGAAGTAGTTTAGCTAGTGGCTCCGGAGTGAAGTAATTTTTCTCTCAATTTCTGGGCTCCGATTTTCAAATTGCCTGCAGGAATTGAGGTAAAGCGTAGTTTTCAACAGTTGCCGTTACATTCCAGCTCCACTCCGGATCGGATCTTCAGATCAAGCTCTACATCCGACCAGTATTCTCCCTATCAGGGACTGTCTGTGTACCTCGATGTTCCGGTTGGGGAATGGATCGTTAAGACGCAGTGGACTTTTGCAGCGAGGCCTTAGAAAGGCTATTCACGGGGGTTTGAAACGTCATGGATTGGAGTCTGCCACCGGACCACTGGTGCCCCTCCTACCCCTCCGCTCGCTGCGCTGCATTTCTACACCGGCTTCTTCCCCTCTTCCTCCTCCATCATCCCATTCTCCCTCTTCTTCCATCCTCTCTCCCAACCGATTGACCTGTTTGAGTTCCATTCAACCAGGTTTGAGCCCATATCAGAAGAGACACTGTTCAACGGCATTCCGCACAATGGGTAGAGACGACAGGGAGATTCTGCCGGATGTGTAAGCTATTCTCTTCGTCCCTCATATTGCTCCATTTGGAATTTGGATGCTGGGCTTTTGCTAATCCTTAAACAGGGCAAAGCCATCTCATTATACGATTTCCCTATATAATCTCCAGCTTGGTGGCTCCTGGGGTTACAACGGAACCGTAAAAATCGACACCAGAATCACTCGACCTACCTCGGAAATCGTGCTGAATGTCAAGGCAATTGAGGTGCAAACCGCCAAAATCACTTCCAAAGATGGTATGCTCCTTGCTGGATCGAGATGAGTCCGCTTCCTGGAACGAAGTTCTCACGTATTCTGGTTGAGTACAGGATCGACATCGGTCAATAGCTCCGACATCTCCTATGACAGGACTTCAGAGCGTGTCACTACCAAGTTTGCCGAAGAAATCAAAGAGGGCGACTTCGTCTTGGAGCTTGCGTTTACCGGAACGATGAACAACCATATGGCCGGTTTTGCTAGGGCGAGATACCAATCGTCTGAAACACCAGCACCGGGAACTCCTAAGGAAGGAGACGATTACTTCATGCTTAGCACCCAATTCGAGGCCTGTGATGCCAGACAAGCATTCCCTTGTTTTGATGAACCAAATCTGAAGGCAACGTTTGACTTCGAAATTGAAGTTCCCAAAGACTTGGTTGCAATCAGCAATATGCCCATCAAGAGTACTCGCGAAGGAAGCAATCCGGGTCTAAAATTCGTTTCTTTCGACAGAACCCCCATTATGAGCACATATGTAGGCAATTTCCCCTTCCCATTGGCATTCTTAAAACCTACACGCCTACATATACTTTTACTGGGAGGTCGGCATCTCACTGCTATCTGTAGCTTCTCGCATGGGCGGTCGGTGATTTCGAATACGTTGAAGCCCACACCAAGCGCAAATACAACGGCTCTCCGATCCCAGTCCGTGTTTACACCACCAGAGGCCTTAAGGAGCAAGCCCGCTTTGCCCTTGAATGTGCGCATAAGACTGTGGATTACTTCTCTGAAGTTTTCGAGATCGACTACCCTCTGCCTAAGTCCGATTTGCTTGCTGTCCATGAATTTGTAAGTCCCCAATTTACTAAAGAGAGCCAAGGGTATTTCCTTATTTGGCACTAACACCTTGCCTGCTATAGGCTATGGGCGCCATGGAAAACTGGGGACTTGTGACGTACCGTACAACTGCAGTGCTCTTTGAAGAAGGCAAATCAGACGACAGGTTCAAGACTCGTGTTGCATACGTTATTGCACACGGTAAGAGTGCCATATTTTCCTAGCAACTCTGTTTTGGTATCGCTAATCAATAATTTCAGAATTGGCTCATCAGTGGTTTGGAAATCTTGTCACGATGGACTGGTGGAGTGAACTTTGGCTCAACGAGGGTTTCGCGACTTGGGTCGGCTGGCTTGCTGTGGATCACTTCTATCCTGGTCAGTATCTCATTGAGACAGGCTCTTAGGGAGTTCAGTGCTGACACCGTGTTTTAGAATGGGATGTCTGGTCTCGTTTTGTCGTAAGAAATGCCAGAGGTACCAAACTATTGACTTCTTGCAGTTAACAAATTCACAGGCTGAAGCAGTGCAACAAGCTTTCCTCCTTGACTCGCTGCGGGCATCTCATGCAATTGAGGTACCCGTAAGGAACGCACTTGAAGTGGATCAGATTTTTGACCATATTAGCTACATGAAAGGAAGCTCTGTCATTCGTATGCTCAGTAGCCACCTTGGCCAAGAAACCTTCTTGCGCGGTATTGCCAAATATCTCAAAGCGCATGCATATGGTATGTAAAACTGCATCCCTTTTCTTGGATGTATGGATTACTTATAACCAAATAGGCAACGCCACAACAAATGACTTGTGGTCTGCTTTGAGTGAGGCTTCTGGAAAAGATGTGACTGGTTTCATGGTTAGATTTCCCAATTAATATCGTTAAAATTAGGGAAACGGAGGGGCTAATGGCAGTGTAGGATCCATGGATTAGAAAGATCGGATTCCCATTGGTGACTGTGGCTGAAGAGCCCAATCAAATTACTGTCGCGCAAAAGAGGTACCTCGCTTCCGGTGATGTAAAACCGGAGGAGGACGAGACCTTATGGTGGATCCCCCTTGGAATCAAGTCCGGACAGGAGGCTAAAGCCGTAGGTGAGCGTAATTTAACATCAAAATCTGATGTAGTTCAAAACATCAGCCAAGATTTCTACAAGCTCAACAAGGACCAATGCGGGTTTTATCGAACAAACTATCCCCCGGAGCGCTTGGCTAAACTCGGGAAGTCTCTCAATCTGCTGAGTACCGAAGACAAGATTGGTCTGATTGGCGATGCTTCTGCTTTGGCTGTCTCTGGCGAAGGAACCACAGCTGCCACCTTGGCTCTTCTCGAAAATTTCCAGGATGAACAAAACTATCTGTAAGCATACCCATTTACTCACCTCTCGCTTTCAGATTCAAGAAAAGGGCTATGAAAGCGGAGAAGATTCGCTAACGAACGCCATAGGGTCTGGATGCAGCTTATCACATCCTTGAGCCACATCAGATCAGTTTTTGCAGCCAACGAAGAAATTGCAACTGGCTTGAAGAACTTTGCGCGTAAACTTGTGACACCGGCTGTTGAAAAGCTCGGCTGGGAATTCCAGCCGAATGAGGATTACCTTACAGGCCAGCTTCGTCAGCTGCTAATCTCCTCAGCCGGCCATGCTGGCCACGAAGGGTGTGTTCATACATATAATCGCATGTGCGTCGCTGTTAAGTCACTAACCCTATGAGATAGGACCATCACTGAGGCTAAACGACGATTCAATCTTTGGGCAACAGGCGAGGACAAGAGTGTAATTCACGCCAACCTGCGCAGTGCAATCTTCACGATCAACGTTTCCGAGGGAGGCCAAAAGGAATATGATACGGTTAAAGAGGAGTTCGGCAGAACAAGCTCCATTGATGGCAAGGAGATCTGCGTCGGATCGCTTGCACGAACTAAGAATCCCGACATTCTCAAAGATTATTTCGAATTCCTATTCTCTGGCAAAGTTGCAACTCAGGATATCCATACTGGAGGAGCAGGCTTAGCAGCAAATTCCAAGGCAAGAGATGCATTCTGGGTTTGGCTCAAGGCAAACTGGGCTCGCGTCGAGAAGAAACTGGGATCCAACAAAGTTGTCTACGAGCGATTCATCAGGATGAGTTTGTCGAAATTCGCCGACCACGCCACCGAGCGAGACATTGCCAAATTCTTCGAGGACAAAGATAAGGGTGGGATCGATCGTGGCTTGCTTGTTGTCGGTGACACCATCCGGACAAATGCCAACTATCGGGAGAGAGATGAGAAGGGAGTGCTGGAATGGTTGAAGGCTCATAACTATGTCTAGATGCCTCTTCCAAAACAAGAGACAAGTGTGATCTTTGTAGGTGTAGTAGTTATGTAACTAGTGTGCCACTATTTTAAATCCATGACATGCTGATTTTAGCATGTATACGCCTATCCCATGTGGCCTGTCTAATGGAGTGCATTCCAGTGGTATCAGAGCACAGGGCACATTTGATTTCTGGCTGATGAGATGAGAATCAAATGGCAAGCCTCATGTGAAACATCACCTTGCCAAACATGGGTTCCCAGGAAGCACGCTAATCCCTGTTCAGGATTAGCGTGACCCAGCCTGTTGAACTCAAGAAGGGCTGACAACCTCAAAGTGTGTCCGGATTATGCTACCTACAACAGAATCAACTGCAATACTCCATAGCACGCTCTTTCTTCTGCACCTTGACATCTTCTCACCCTGGTTGATATTTTCTACTGCGAAGCTCTAGTATACACTGTGCTTTGATCGTTCATAACTTCCTTTGCGGTCACCTTTGAAATACACCCTTCATTATGAACCCTGAGTGGTAGGTCATCCTTCCTCCAGACTAGGACGCAGCAGCCTGTTGCTATCACATTAGCTTTGCAACGCTCCTCTCTCTTAGAGACTCATATAGCTAACGAATAGGCACTTGAATAGAGTTGGCCAAGTTTCCTCCTCCCTGCCGTCGTTCAGCTTCTTGATGACGAAGCCCTTGCATTACGCATACTAATCGAACCTTCTCAGATACGATTATCTCTTCAAGCTCCTGCTCATCGGAGATTCCGGTGTTGGGAAATCGTGCTTGTTGCTTCGATTTGCTGATGATACATACACGGAAAGCTATATCTCTACTATCGGAGTCGACTTCGTGAGTTTACCCTACCGTCTCCCAACTAGTGGGTGCCGCCAAGCATACGCAACGCATGTGCTGACATTCCTGATCACAGAAAATCCGAACAATCGAACTCGATGGCAAAACAGTGAAGCTGCAGATCGTATGTACCGCTTTCTGTGACCCATTCCGAACCACCCCCATGCTAAACTCATATTTTGTAGTGGGACACGGCTGGTCAAGAACGATTTAGAACCATTACATCTTCCTATTATAGAGGCGCTCACGGTATCTGCGTCGTTTATGATGTTACGGATATGGATTCTTTCAATAACGTGAAGCAGTGGCTTCAGGAAATTGATCGTTACGCGACTGAAGGAGTCAACAAGCTTCTTGTTGGTAACAAGAGCGATATGGAAGACAAGAAAGCCGTCGAATACACAGTTGCAAAAGTACATTTCGATTTTATATAGCTCTGCAAGTTTGAGTCGGACCATAGCTAACATTACTTGTCTTTAGGAATTCGCTGACAGCCTTGGTATCCCGTTCCTCGAAACTTCCGCCAAAAATGCCTCCAACGTCGAACAGGCCTTTTTGACCATGGCTCGACAGATCAAGGAACGCATGGGAACTGCTACAGTGAACAACAAGCCCACTGTCCAAGTTGGTCAGGGCCAAGGGGTTCAATCAGGGTCTGCTGGCGGATGCTGCTAAATTAATCAGATGAATACTTCCGAAATGCCTCTCAATGTGTGCCATGGTCTTCCTCTGGTGTGAATTGGTTTCATGAAGGCTGGTGTCAACAGTGGGTCGTTTGTTAAATGGGTTGTCAATTTGGGCTTGTTTTTCATATCTGTTTGCGCCCATGACAGCTTCATGAAAAACTAATGTCACGCCCCAACAGTTATGTTACGTATCCCTACATTTTTTCTATGTCAAGATTATTCCTCTTGTCTTCCCCTCGATCTTGTTTTTAGAATGGGTCTGTCCTTGTTTTCCCTTTCATATGTTTTGATGTCAGTGTAACTTGTTTCCTTACCATCATCAACCTGTTTCCTAATACAATCACATTGCCTGGTCTCCTTATTCCAGAAAACTTCGATGGGCCGTGGCTGTTATTAACTGGCTATGCGCAGCCTTTTGTCTTCCGCAGCCTCCTCTTTCGCTCATTAATATGGCATGGTATTTGTTAGGCCAGCAGTGTGGTTTATGCTTGCAGAACATGCTTCAAATCAACTTTAAGACACATATGCATTTCTGAATTAATGGTAATATATTATCGGAGACTTCGTGGCTTTGTATTTCGTCTAGGCACTCTACTCCACATCTAAGTCGAGGCAATAGTAAGACGGTTTTATCGTCCCAGTTAGCGGCCAACCCACGCGGTCATGGTGGCTATCGCCCAAAATTTTTGTGCTAGGGCTCTATCCCTAAGGTACCCAGTGCAAGACTAGTGTGAGTATCGCCTACGGCCCTCATAGCAATTGGTAGAAAGAGGTTGTCTCTTTCTCACGGCTTCTCTTGATAACAAGCAAATGCATCGTATGTGGCAGACAAAGACCGTGTACGGATATCAGCGACCAGCCGTATTTGCAAAATCCATCAGAGAGACTCGCAAAGGATCTCTCACCGACGAGGTTAGCATTCAATTACAAAGTTATATCCTGCCTTGGCACCAGACGCCCTGCTTACGCCGTACCTTGACGGGCGTTTCTTGGACACATGCTTGCTCTGCCCAGGATGAAGGCGGGGCGATGCTCCGGAGTGTGAGCGGGAAAGGCAGCTGGTGGGTCTGCCTCGGAATCCGTGGCTTGTGGCTTCATCATCTTGTGCTACTTTTTAACCAACTACGAAGCACCTCTATTGCCATATATATATATATAGGGATGACTCCAAGTACTGCGGTCTTGCTGATTACCCCCGGCTCAATAATGAGAGCCGAGAGTGCAAATGATCCAAACGCGAATCACGGGGCGCGGGAGTCGAGCATGGAACACTACCTCATTCATATGCAATAATCTAGCCCATCACTAGAAAAGAAAAAAAATGAAAAAATGAAAATTCATGAAAATTCAGAATAAAAACTCGAGTCTTCCGGCCGCGCATGTCATGCTTGCGGGAGGGAGAAGGGACCCCGTCATTGCCAGCCAGCCAGCCAATGGACGATGTCATCAGATAAAGCCGAGGCATCGTGCGGCAACGGGTTCATATGAAGCCAGTCCCAAACTCCCCAGACCCATTGACCCGCTGCCGATGTGTTCTCGTGTGCCCAAGCAGTAGTCAGGAATTGGTCTCGCGCCAAAAGGGAAATTTAAAGGAGACGATCGGCCTGAGCTTGTAGGAAAGGAATTTTTCTTTTTCTTTTTTTTTTTTCTCTCTTCTCTTCGCTCCGAAATATCGAGTTGAATCACAGTCCAACGCTCCCTCATCAACTGTATCCGCTCCTTTGGTACCTCACGAAATAGTCAAACGTCCGAGCCTGTTTTATACAGCTCTTCTATTCATACGCTCACCATCGAATAATTATATCTCACAGCTAGCGCCAGAAAACCGGATTTACCGATAAGCATCTTGTGCAACGTCGACATGTCTCAATCAAGCAGTTCAGCAGCTCAGAAGCCGAAAGTGGCCGCGATTGCCGCGCAGCAGAGTGACAATATTGCGCATGCTTTGGCCGGTGCAGGAGGTGGAATCTTGTCTATGATCCTAACGTGCGCCTCCCTTGATTATCAGATTTGACCCCCATACTAGCCCACCGCCATTTAATGTCCTAGCTAACCGTGATGGGGATGTCGTTCGTTACGTATAGCTACCCCTTAATAACCCTTTCCACTCGAGCGCAGGTTGAGTCCAAGCGCGCGCAATCCTCTAGCATCGACGCAGTGCGCCACATCATCAAGCGTGAGGGTATTAAAGGCTTATACGCCGGACTCGAATCCGCCCTTTTCGGTATCAGTGTCACCAATTTTGTGTATTATTACTGGTACGAATGGACCCGCGCAGCTTTTGAGAGAGCGGCGAAGAAGGCGGGACGGGCATCGAAGAAACTTACTACTGCGGAATCGATGATTGCTGGTGCTATCGCAGGCAGCGCAACCGTGCTGATCACGAACCCCATCTGGGTTGTGAATACCCGGATGACTGCTCGCAACTCTGAGGCCGAGGAGGCTCTTCCCGGAGCACCCGCGAAGAAGCCTAAGACGACGCTGAGCACCTTGATGGACCTCCTCAGGGAGGAGGGACCCAAGGCTCTTTTCTCTGGCGTTTTGCCGGCTCTCATCCTCGTCATCAACCCTATCCTGCAATACACATTCTTCGAACAGTTGAAAAACACGGTGGAGAGGAGGAGAAAGGTTACTGCCACAGATGCGTTCTATCTCGGTGCACTGGGAAAGCTGCTTGCTACCACCATTACTTATCCGTACATCACGGTGAAGAGCAGAATGCATGTTGCTAGTAAGGATGGTCCAAAGGAGAGCTTGAATGGAAGTCTGAAGAGAATTATTAAGGAAGAGGGGTGGGGTGGCCTGTATAAGGGTAAGTTTATACTGTTTTGCATAACTATTAATGTCCCGGAGATGTACTAATATGGATTTTTCCTTTTCTGGATAGGTATTGGCCCGAAGGTCAGCCAGAGTGTTCTCACTGCTGCCTTCCTCTTTGCATTCAAGGATGTCCTTTACGACACCATGGTTGCTGCTCGGAGGCGAGCAATCCGCAAGTAACCAGTACAGATGGACTATTCTGTATACTTAACCCTGTAACTCGACCAGGGCTATCGGTCACAGCTGACAAAGTCAAAAGCTCACACAAGGAGTTTACCGTCCATATTTGGAAAAATATCCCAGAATGTACAGTTGTTCGAAGATGTGGCTTGTTTAATTGGGCAATTGCGGTGGTCATTCTTAAGGACGTCTTTTTAATTATCACAACTTCACAAGGAGTTCATGCAGAGAGAGGAGAGGGCAGTGATTATTGGTCCTTATAAAAATTTTTTTGTATATATCATATTCATCATTTTGTCCCCATTATTTTGTCGTTAACCATGCAACTGTCTCCATTTTGGTGCCCGAAGCTAATGCAGCGACAATATGGAGTTCAGAGCTATTTCTGGGCTCAATGAAAAATTACTGGCGGAGACGGAATATCTGTTAATGCGTTCCGGTAGGCGCCTGATACCGTCAGGCTCCAGGCCAGCCTGACGGGTTTCACAATGCGATCCTGAGTTCTTTGGCGTGAGGTTTGGTTCAGCTATTGTGAACACTCTAACCAAGTAACCCGTTTTGTAACATATGTTTCCAAACAATATTCTAGATAAGCCAAGGTGAGTGCAATTTCCTCCCCCGGGGTGTCTGAGATGGATTCTACTCCCTTCAAGGCTTCGTCTACTTTCCCAAATAAGGTACTGCAAGGCTAATCTTTTGTTGTATGCAGACTTCACGCGTCATAAT